TATAGCGCGAGGATCAAAGTTTTGCATGTCAACGAACATTCTCAGATATATCAGTTTTAACGCCAAATTACTGCTCGGAAACGGTAAATTAAGATAGAATCTTCAAAGAGCACATATCTGCACAAATTATTCTTTAAATAAAGATACAAAAGTATAATAAAATATAGGTATAAAGTAAAAAGAATAAATAAATAAGGATTGTAATAGACAAGATTCCTTATATTTTACAGAATTTTCGAAGTGTTGTAATCTTTCAAATGCACTTGAGAGAATTGAGTGATAAACAAAAACTTGACTTCATACGGCAGACGAACCCGCGTTTACCCATTCCGGGACGCGTTCTACCATTACACCACCGAGGCACCGCTTCGCCACCACTTATTCTTCAGTATTTTTATCACAGCTATCAGCCACCAACCTCTGACAGAGTTGGTCGGTTAGGCAGATATCATACTAACTAACACTGCGAAAAAGTAGTAAAAAAACCCAATAAATCCTAAGGTGCTTTTCTTTTAGACGATGCAAATGAGTGGTCGATTTTACTCACTGGACCAGAGTTTTTCTTAAGAGTGTTAGTGATTATTCAAAAGCTTGAATCTCTGGCAAGCACACTACGTGGCCGTTCTTCGAAAAAAAACTTTATAGTGCTGTAGAATCCAGAATTAAATTATGTTCCACATCCAGCACTTGTTTCTTTCTTTATCTCACTTATATTTCTCTGTACAAAACTCCTTCGTTAGACAGCTAGTGCTCTTTCGATGGCACAAGTCTCAAAAAACTCGAAAATGTGTTTGCTTTTTGAAAAAAAAACTCTTTTGATAACACTGTAAGAGGAAAAAAATATTTGTGCTTCAAACCTTGCCTGACAGAGCACTTTATTTAGACTATTATTAATCGTTCGATGGCGCAAATTTCAATGATTCTATCGCTATGCTTATTTTCTGGAGGAACCGTCTCGCTGGAGCGTAACGCGAAAATTAAGATCGACTTCCACTCATTCGGTGGCTTGTTTACCGGCTGATCCATGGGCTGAGGGTCGGGGCGAAGATCGACGGCCTAATGCGTTAGATATATGGAGTGCAAGTTGTAATTTACTTGGAAAATTTTTCTAAGATTTGGAAGAAACTCCAAATAAAATGATTGACTCAGATACTACGAGATTTTCCCTACACGTTCGTACAATTTTCGTGCTTCCAGCGAATTATACGCGTGATAGGAATGGATGCGCGTGGCATGTGTAAAGCATAATTTTATTTTGTATGCTGCAGCGTTGTAAAAAAGACCTTTCGAACGCCCACGTGAGGCACTAGCTAGAGATTTAAGCTTTTGAAAGCCCATTAACACTCCTATGAAAAGTTGTTGCTCAATAAATGGGGTTGAATATTCATTTGTCGAGGTCTAACAGAAGATAACCATCTTGGGCATAAAATATCACAATGGCTGTAGGCTTAACTGGGGCTGGAAAGCGACTTGTGCTTATCCCAGCATACCTTTAAGATGTTAGCGCCTGACAGCTATGATAGAGACACTGAAGAATGAGTGGTGGCGAAGCGGCGCTTCGGTGGTGCAGTGGTAGCACGCGCCCCCTGTATGAGCAAAACGTGGGTTCAACTTCTGTCTGGAATCAACTTTTTGTTCACCACTCAATCCTCTTGGGCATAATTGAGATAGATAAATACATAGAATAAGCTATCTTTTTCTTTAAACGATACGAGATGAAGAAACGATCCTTCTCGCTGGGCAATAATTTTTCATTGGAGTGCTAGTAATCATTCGAACGCTTAAATATCTGGCTAGAGCCGTACGGGGCTGGTTTCTTAAGAAAAACCCTTTTAACTCTATGAAATTCAAAATAAAATTATGTTTTACATAGGCTGCGACATTCTAGTATAATGTTGCTGAAATCACGAAAAACATATGAAAGTTTAGAAAAATCTTGTAGTATCAATGTCATACGCTCAATCTGGAGATTTTTACATAGCGGAGAAATAAATCCTAATTGTATAACAAAAATTAGACTTTACAAGCTATACGCCGAAGAGCCATAGATTGATGGCCGCATTGAAACCGCGTGCATTCCCTTCTGCGTCCCACCTTAAGCCCGTAGATTAGCAAAAGATCACATGTCGCGTATATGAGTCAATCCTATTTTCCCTGCAAAATGGAGCGACGACTTTTCTAGAAAATGAACACAACGCTGGAAACGCTAAATCTCACGCTATTAAATAGCTACTAGCAGTTTAAAGAAGGAACTCCGTACTGAGGATCATGCGCGCGTAATAACAATTTTTTGTTCGTTGACGCGTCGCAATAAGACTTTTTCAAAAAATGGCCATGTAACGCGCTAGCCAGAGATTTAAGCTGTCGACTGATTACTATATGTGAAGTCTTTGCCTAATGAGTGGGGCCGTTTTCTGATCTTGTGCCGTTTAACTAAAAAGTAGCTAATAAATACTATGAACATATGGATAAACAGAATATGCAGTAAACGAAACAAATAAGCAAACAAATGATTTACAAATTCAAATAAGTAACAATACATAAATATTGATAAAGAAACAGCAGTAAATAAACGATAGGTGAACAGTAAATAAATAAATAAATAATCACAATCACCTGTAACACTTTGATCCGACGAGTTCGATTGTCCGTACTCCACCCATGAACTGATGAGCCGACGGCTTGAGATGGTAAGAAGATCGTTTCTTCATTACCGTCACTGATCCCTCATCATCGCTTGTGGTACTCTCGTCACCACCTTAACGTCATGTACTAAAATCAGTACTTATCTCCTCAAGTACAGTGAAAAATTACCTCTTGAATCGTCGAAAGCCTCCGGGGTTTCATTGTTATAGAGCACTGAGGAGGCATCATCGAACGATTGCAATGAGGACGACGACTCCTCTCGCAAGTCCGTTTCCTCAACTTTCATACCTCAAGTAACTAGTAGTATTCTGTAAGACAACGAGAATTATTCAGAGATTGACGGGCGAAACTTCGAATTTTGGGCGGTAATTGAGCCTGTGATTCACCCTCTACCGTATGGATACCTTTGTAACGCAGAAAGACTGATATACGAACAAAAGCCTCGATATGCAGTGGTTAACACTCGCCCTTACAAGAGAGGGGACACTGGTTTGGCTCCCGCGCGAGGTTTTGAGTTTTGCATATCAACGAACATTCTCGGACACATTACTTCAAGACCATATAACTACTCGGAAACGGCAAAGTAAGAAAGAATTCTCATAAATCACAAATCTCACAAATTGTTCTTTGATACACATATGTATGCGCACATAATTTCAAGAAATAAAGATTCACTCAATCGGAACCGTGGGCTCGCCTTCTCTGCATCTCTAACCCCAGGACGCAAGACGGTTTCAATGTATTATTTTATTATCTTAATTGTGATAAGGATATGACACATTTTGAGCCGTTAGGTCTAGCGCTATATAGGCTCCTATTTCGTCCTTTCGGGACTCATCACTACCACCCTCCCTCGGTTCAACCGATCTTTTGTGATTAAAGGATCCTTTATAGAGGATTATATAGCACTAGACCTAACGGCTCAAAACATGTCATCTCCTTGCAAGATTATTTCATTTTGAGCGGGTCTATAAAAAAGCTGTCGATGGAGCATTATCTTAATTGTATTATCGTTAATATTTTTCGACTTATAACAGTGTAATATATTCAGATATGACCAACATGCGAAAGTAGCAACAGTACAGTTGAAATAATACAACAATCTATTCCACCGTCACTAGGCTGGGATTAGAGTTGCGGAGGAAATGGGTTGATGGTCCCGAAAAGGTTAAATATGGTGAAAAATGATTTAAAACAATACTAAACAAACAAACTACAAGACAATAAAAATTCGTACCAGAATATTTTGTGCTGGACAAATGGTTGTGAACAATTTTGAGCCACCCATTAAGAAAAGGAATTTTTTCTCGGAATAGATAACTCAAGAGGCGATGAACAAGTGGTTAGTGAAGAAGGCTATTAGGAATCAAAGTGATGGTTGTGCCTTCTCCCCACTACTTTTCTGTAAGCAATAAACGAAAGACCTACGAAGCCTCTAAAACAGCAAGGAGAACTGTCTTGATCAGCATTCTGCATTATTCACGAAGAAAACGAAATCCGCCTCAAGCAGTAGTCGATACGACAAGAGAAGTTGTCGAAGAGCTCTGTGGAGGACGAGTGCGACGGAACAAATCGACTAGGAGACCTAATTGGGTAGAGTACTACATATTACACTTTCTGAAATAAAAAAACCTCGGGAAAGGGATAAAGAGAGGCGCCGTGGCCGAGTGGTTGAGATGTTCGCGGCAGCGAGCTCGGGCCAAGCCCCGCCAACAATACTCCCCGTCAATCAAGAACGAACACATCATGAAACGCCGCAGTTTGGATGTCCACGAGATTGCAAGGACACTCGCTCAGTCAGTTTAATGCAACGTTCAAGAAGGAGAGAAAGAAGCGAACTGAGTGCTAGAAGTACTGAGATTCGTACAGTGAAAAAACCCCAAAAAGACAAAGCAAAATAAATAAGACAGATAAACAGGAAAAATTGAGTTCATTTAAAATCCCGGCTATGGGATCATAAGAATTCTCGTTCACACCACATTAGATCGCTTACTAAGAAAGATGTAGCGTAGAAAGTATCAGGGAAGGATTATATGCAGTCCTCGCCGTATTGTAAGCGACTACACTTGGGTTCTGCCGAGAACAGTAACTGAGACGAATGTAGAACCCTTCACATAAAGCAAAACCATCTTTAATAGCAAGGATCTCAAAAACTAGCTTTATTTAAACAATAATATTCGCAAAAGGGATCTGTGGGCCGTTTGTATTGTCAGTCAACGAAGGTCGTGCGTAGTTGCGGTGCCGTGCGACTACCGTTTCGGTATGAATTCTGTCGTTGACCATCCCTTAATCTGTGCTTGCTGTTCTCACACCTAACGCTAAAAACTGTATTTTTCGCCACCTGGCGATATTTTCCATCAGAATCGTCAACTGACGAAAGTCGTACGCAATTACGGTAGGCTTTGATTACCGTATGGACAAAATCATGTTGCTGAGTATCCCTTCATGTAGGTGTCATTGTTCTTCGCACACCCAACTCCTGAAGCTGGTTGTCGACAATTGGTAATAACTTCTCTATTTGGGATATTTTGTAAGTTGCACCTTTCTCAAGTAACAGGCGAAGCTTTATGCTGCATCGCCATAGTAGTATACAATTTTTATGTAGTATTTTTCAATACATTTTGATTTTGAACCATGAAAAATCGAAAGAGATGAGTCTCCAAATTCTTCTGGCACAAGTACAGCATTCGCAAATGTTAACGACGCATTTGGAGAGACCCAGCAGCGTTCAGCTGACCAAGATCCCTCCTTTCAATCGATACTTCAATGACATGCTTGTTTATTGGCTTTGTAAGATTATAGCATGAAAAATACGAAGATTGAATAATTTATTCTTGACTATTCTAAACTGAATTCGCGTATTAGGTGACAGTGGCGGCTGCCGTGGCGAACTGCATTTTAAAAGGACCTAATGTTATTACTCGAAGTACTCTGTTCACTACACTTTGCCACATCTCCCTGTTCCAATTAGCCATGATGAGATTTGAAGTCTAAACAAATTACTCTTGCTTTCAAAGCGACGTGGTAGACAAAATGAAACAGTTCAAACCGTGAGAGTTCCTGAAATTGACAAGTGTTGAGGGGGAATTGGCGTGAAATGCATGGGCATGTTCAGCATACAGTTATTCCCTACTGCACCTGGCACTCCCATTGCAAGACATGTTGTTGTCACTGTGTTGCCAAAAATGACGCAGGTTGTCTTCATCATCTGATCTCGATTAACTGCAACAAACTGCCTCATTCAAACATTGTTTTTCTAGAAACTCAAGCAAATGAAAAAAATATGATATCTGGTTGGTGATTTTTGATTTCTCGAAATTTTATTTAAAACGTAATGGCTCGCTTGAAAATTCTACTGAATGAAGTCGTCAAATCATTGTAGAAGTAATTTTCTGCAACAGCATAAAATTGGTTATCTTCAAATTGTGTTTCTCGATATACATGATTTGAACGGTGTGGACAGTCCACTCAAATAAAGCCGGCTCTGGAGAAGACGAAAACACCGGAACATAGCCCAACAAACATTTCCGCGACATCTTTGTGTTTTCTCAATCATCCAAAATATGCTCATGAGATATCTCGCAAAATTAAGCTTTTACAACTTTCCCAAACAGTTTGGGACCATTTTCTCCATTTCTTTCCAACATAAAACGATTCGATATACTAGCGAAGATATTCAAAGAGTCTCTGGCTAGATATGGACGAATTGCGTGTAGTCTGCGCAGTGGATGCTGAAAGTTGAAAACTTACACATATCTGAAGGGTTAACAGAAACCTTGGGGCATGGTAGTGGTGTGTAGAGGATGTTGATACCGAGCTGATTCAAAATGGTTGTTATTGCAAAATCAGGAAGACCAGCGGCTCGTCCCTGCTGTTCAAGAACGTCGAGCACCTATAGAACGGAATTTTCGTTAACTGAGAGAGTTTTTCGTAAGTGATTCGATTTTTTATGTAGATCCTTTTAAATAGCTAATATTGGTC